CTTGAGCGGCAACAGCACCGCGGCGGCCCCCCCGGCCGGGCCCGGCCCCTCAGCCCGGCGCAGGCCCCGCCGCCGCCATGGCGCTGAAGATGGTGAAGGGCAGCATCGACCGTATGTTTGATAAGAACCTGCAGGACCTGGTGCGCGGCATCCGCAATCACAAGGAGGATGAGGTGAGGGGACCCTTCCCCGTGTTCCGACCCGGGGATGTCACCGCTGTCTGGGGGCCGTGTCTGGGAAGGGAATGTTGGTTTGGGAGGGGGGAAGCGGGAGTCAGAACGAGGAAGGTGAGGCTGGGCTGTGGGGCAGGAGGGACAGGCTGGCTGAGAGCACGAGAGTTAGTAAGGGAGGGTCGTGCTTGGTGCTCACCTTTCCGTTCAGTGTGTTGCTGTGGTGTTGAGATCCGTGATATATGTATGGATATATACACATACATATTTATACACACAAGTCTGTACATGATTATTGTAGAGGAATAATCATATAGGGATTCCTTCCTCTCCAGGCCTACAGTCATGTGCTGTAGTCAGCTATGTATTCTTCACCCTGAAGCTGTTGTACAGGAGAACTAAGATCCTAATTCAGCTTTCAGATCATTCATGCCTAGGATCTCCTGACTAAAATGTCCTCTCAGAGCTTTTCTAGGCAGCAATCAGTTCTCTGTTGGCCTGTTATCCACTCTTGTGTGAGAAGCACGTGATCAGGAAATTAGTATAGGTGAAATAATTAGTCATCAAGAACGTGTTATATGAGACTCCACAGTGAAGTGTCACATGGTAATTGAGAAGTAACGGGCCCCAATGTCATTTATGTTCATCTTCAAGTAGGTTGTGAAGCCTGAGAAGCTTTCTTAATGTTGGTTTAACAGCTGGGCTTTGCTGGTGTGTTGAGGGGGGGGGGGTTGCCGTGGAGTCAGTATCAGCTATCAAAAGCATCTGGAAAACTTGTAAACATCTAACTAAACAAAGAACTTTGCAAGGGAAGCTGATCTTCCTTGCTGGTGCTATTGAACTGAAACACAAAATACAACTTCCAAAATCTCTGTGAAGCGAAGCTCTTTGTGCACAGGACAAGGGGTTGTTTGGTAGTGAACATACCTGGGAAACTTTGTTTCTCTCAGAATGACAGAATATAGTGAAAGGACCCATCAGGATCATTGAACCCAATTTATTTCAGTATCTGTAAAATGTATGGTATTGGTTTGATGGGCAGAGGAAGGCAGGGCTGCTGTGTGGTGCCCTGAAAAATACCATGAAGTGGCAACAGCAAATTTGTATGGAATTTATGAGCCTAATGTGTCCTGCCAGAGTGGGACCTGGTGAGCAGTATTCTTATGGAGCCTTTTCAATATGTTGTGCTGCTTTTAGTAAATCTGCTTTATTCCTTTGTGCATAGGACAGAAGGTGTTTCATCAGCTGTCAAACCTCTGAGCATCCTCCTGGTGAAGGTCCAGGTCTTTGTGGCATCAGTTCTTTAAGAATAATTGAATGTTCTTTCTAAAATAATTTTGTGACATACAGCTTCATAAGGAGAATTGTGACCCACTCTGAGCTTGTTCTCAGTGTGTGACAAGAAATGGTTAAATCATACTGGCTTTGGTGCCCTTTGGAGTTAGGAAAAGACTCCTTGGACAATTTTGTAGGGCTCTATGAACTTGTAGGAAGCTCTTACTCAGGTATGTGCACACTCTGGGATTCAGTGAGGTCAAAGCAATATGTTGTCTCTTACAACAGCTGGGCTGCAGCATGATGAAATTTTCAGCTCTTCAGTTTGGACTACAAATGGTGAGATTTTGAAATGGATAACTATAGGGAGAATTCCTTTTTATATCCTCATGAGCACAGCAAAAATTAAAATCTGAACCAGGATGTGTTCAGCTGATTAAGATATTGCACTGGTAAAACTTGTGTGTTTGGGAATCCTTCAAATATTTTTCTCCAGAGCGTGGCTGCAAACAGTGCAGGACTGTGCCTTTTCCTGGCTTAGCTGGAGAGAGCTGTAAACCTGCTGTTGAGCTTTTGGGTGTGGATTCAGTGCTTCCCAGGCAGTGGCCAGAGACATTGGCTAATTTTCAGGTGATGTTACAAAATCAGAATGCTGTTTTAGAGGAAATAGCTGCAGAAATTCTTCCTCTTTTCCCTACAGTGCTTCCATTGTTCACTGTATCTGTTAAATGTTGCTTCAGTGCTGTAGTTCAACCAACATTTGTGTGTCTGAAGATAAGTGTCTAAGCCTAAGACAGACACTGTTTAGAATAGCAAATTTGTGTGTGTTTTAGTGGGTAGGATATTGGTTATTGGTCTTGGCTCAACAGGAGATTCTCCAGGAAGAGTTGTCTCTGGAAATGAGCTACTGTGATTGTTAAACAACAATGATATGAAGAGAAATGAAGGCAAGATTATTGTTTTGACTTCTGATTTACTTGTGCTTTTTGCATGAGGTTAGTTTATTTATGTGTCTTGGGCTTTATGTTTTGGAATTTAATCACATGGAAAAATCTGCCATCACTTATTCACTCATCTCTCTGGGCAGTCTCTTCTTCGATGGAAAGGTTTATTCCTTTCCCCTACTTACGCAGGTATCAACATGAGCACATCTGGTATTTCACAGCCCATCGAGGCTGTGTGAGTGCTGGGCACCCCAGTTCACAGCGGATTTCTCAATGCAGTTCTTTGACAGCCCCACTGTGTTCTTGCTTGATGGGTTTGTGTTCTTCCTGTGTTGCTGTGACCATAAATCTCACACCACAAGGTGTGTCCTGTAGCTAGAGGAGGCCAGATCTCTTTATTCATAAATTTTGTGTGCTCCTCAGATCTTTAGAGGAGCTGAGAGTGCTGGAAGCTGCGTGGTCCTCAAGCTCACAGCCTCTGCAGCATGTTAATTCCCTGTCAGGCATTTCCATTGTGTGACCCATTTATTTTGAGTTTAAAACACTGAAACTGAAGGAATGGACTTCCCTAAGGATACAAGGTAGGAGAGGAGAGGTGGTTAACACAGTCACTGCTCTGTGCAGACTTACTCTGTCCGTTTCCAGTGTTCTGGGGAGCAGTGGGACTGCATCGTCCTGCAGGGTAAGCACTGTGCACAAGGAATGAGGTGGCAGAACAGCATTAGTTCTTTCCCAGGTCTGACACGTTGTGTTTGCTTTCCAACAGATGCTTTAGTCCCTGTTGTGTTTTCCAGCACCAGTTCAAAGCCAAACTTGATCCTACTGTGTTTTACCGACTTTTCACTTCCAATATCTCATTCTCTCCCTTTCATTTGGAAAATGAAAGCTTTTGCTAGTAAAAGTGGTTTTTCAGCAGTTATTAGGTGGTTTTGTATACCATGTATGTACACCATACAAACTTCTCCCACTTTGTGCCTACTGCTTCAGGATCTTCTCCACAACATGCTCAGGAGAGGAATGCCTTGCACCATAGGGTGTTAAAGTATACTGGATTTTTGCCAACATAGTCCAAACTGATAAATTATATCTGTTCTCCTAAATGTGTTATAAGGGACAGGATCATTTCCTTTGATGCTGTTTGGCCCTTGCACAGTGTTTTTCATTCACAGTTAAAAGTTTGTTTTTCCCAACAAGGAAGCTCCTGTCAGATGCTGATGTTAAATGTTTGTTTATAAAACTGAAATTATAAAGTAACAGAAACGGATATTAATGGATGTGCTTAGGTTCATTCAGACAGTAGCCCTCTGTTTCAGGGGTCTTTAATTTACTGCAGGACACTTAAGGGGAGAGAAGGGATTAAAAAAAGTCCTGTACAAAATATCTGTGCACTTTCTTATAACTTGAGAAAATTGTCCCTCTCTTTTCTCAGAGACTCTGCAGTGTGTGGCAAGATTAGCCATTCATGTTTTTGGTAATCGATACTTTCAGGAAAAATCATATTAAAAAATCTCACTTTTGTGTCTTTGGTGTTGGGTGATAAGTATCTCATTGCTGGTTTATGCTTAAACTGTTTCGGAAAGTGAAAGGAGCAATGAGTGCTGTTGGTTGGGAAAAAAATTAACTTCAGTTACTAATATAATGCTGAATGGGAGGAGCATTGTGTATCATGCTGTGAAATGTGTGTTTTACTGACAGCCCAGGCTTTCCAACCTGGCAGTGGCTTCTTGCTGCTCACTGAGTGTTACCTGAGGACAGGGCACTTGTATTGTTAAAAAAGCTTTTTCCCCCTAAATAAAGGGCTGCCGTGTTCCACTGCTGATGTCCAGCTTCTTCTCTGGCACATTTTCAGGTGAAATGATGATGTGGGGAGTTTTGAGGAATCTTTTCACGTCACAAAACTCTTCTGGACTCAGCCTGTCCTCAGTGAGGCTGAAGGCCTTCTCATGCTATGGCTTCTGACAGCCTGGCCTCAGCCACTGGTATCCAATGGTGAAGGGTGTGGGATGGAACATAATCAGGGAATTTTGAGGAATGCTAAACAGCTTGTTGGTGCCTGAAAGAACAGACCAACTGCTGGGCAGTGCAGTTCATTGATGACAGACAGCTCTTTCAGGCACTGCTGCTCGATCAGTTACTGTGTGTCATATACGTGGTGATATCTTTGAAGGCAGCTCATTATTCCACCCACTTCCAAGTGGATCTGGAGTTGCTATTGTTAATTCTTAGCGCGTGTGAATCACTGGAAAAGACAGTCAGAAATAGAAACAATACACAAAGAGGGTTGGATAAGGGGAAAAACCAGTCTGGGACTGGTCTGCAAGGCCCAGTGTGACAGTGTCCTACCTTACCTGCTGTGTCACGGGCACAAAGGGCTGGAGCATGGAACACGAGCCAAGATGGGGGCTTGTTCTCCTGTGATTACAGGCAGGAGCAGCTGAGGCTTTGCATTAGTACTGCTTTCGTTAGCTTCTTGCTTTCTCTTGTATGAAATATTACTTAATTGACTGTGGCATAAGTGGGGATAATAGCTTTGTTCCCAGTCTTGATCGTTTTATAGCTGTCTCTACTGAGGGTTTGAAATGCTCCAGACATATCTACACTGGCACATGTGGAAGTGAATATTGTGTCCAGGCAAGTCCAGGGGAGAAGAAGAGCTGTCTGGTACCTAAGAAATGGCATGAATATCCACTGTACCTTCAGTGAGGCCTGGGGAAAAACAGACAGAAAAATCAGAATAAAATATGGATACAAATTACATTTCTGCGCTGTGATCAACTGCAGAAA